TCGTTTCTTCAGTTAAGGATTTGGGTGTTATCATCGAATCTAAAGTCAGATTCAATGAGCACATCTCCATGATAACTGCTAAAGCATTCGCCACATGAGGTTTCTTGAAACGAAACACAAACGCATTCCAGGACATCTACGCGCTGAAATCACTATACTTTGCTCTCGTCCGCAGTCTTCTAGAGTATGCTGTTGTTGTGTGGGCACCCTTTCACGCTATTCAAGCTAACAGAATCGAAGCCATTCAGCGAAACTTCGTAAGATACGCTTTACGTGTTCTGCCCTGGAACGATTCGGTAAATTTGCCGCCTTACGAAGAACGGTGCAGGCTGATTGACTTGGACACGTTGGCAGCAAGAAGGAAACTACTTCAGCGACTCTTCGTGTTTGGATTGGTTAACGGTGACGTGGATTGCAACTCTCTTGTGAGCCAAATCTACATCAATGCTCCTCAAAGAGTTCTACGTAGTTACACGTTTCTGTGGCAACCTACCCATCGGACCAACTATGGATGCAACGAGCCGTGGACTTTGTGCTGTCGTGTGTTAAATGAAACATTGGATGTATATGATTTTAACATTAGTAAGTCTACTTACAGACATAGAATTCGACACCTAGCCTAGAAAATATCTGTACAACATTATGTTGAAGATTTAATTAAATAAATAAAAAAAAATCAGAATCTAGTCAACGGCAACAGCAGCACGAGGAGAGAGGTCGTTGTGATGCAAGGCAGAACCTGTCCCTTTAGGTAGATCGACCTGCCATCTAACATTTCTTCACTGCATTACCAATCGTCGCTCGTATTAGAGCATCTACACCGTTGCAACAATCTATGATAATTTTTAACTGCCATTGGCTGATGGATTTTTGACTCCCGGAAAATTTTCCATCGATTTCAGGTGCTAAAAAAATGCAAACCAGTGGTATTTTAGGCGTGGAATTTGCTGAGATCTATCAGACTATAAATGATTTATTGCTACCGTATTGAGCCAGCACTGTTTACTAAACGTATTCTGTAGCTTTACCTTCCCCACTAACCTTTCCCACTAACTTTTCCCACTAATCTTTCCCACTAACCTTTCACACCAACATTCCCCGCTAACAGTGATGGATCGCTCTTTTGAGACTTTTTCGCTACTTTTTAATATAGAATGCCTACGTTAAATCGAAGACAACAAATCAAGAAGACACACAGTAGCGCTGCGCTCGAACAAAGATGGAAGCAACGCATAGAAAAATGAGCAAATACATAAACCATTCTTCTCTGAGGATGGAACCTTTGCTATGCAATTTTATATGAGCATTTACCTTTGAGCGGCAGATGAAGCGATTGTGCCTGTCTCATACCGGTCGTTTGAGAAAATTGAAGACAGCAAATCAAGAATACTGGCAATTCTTCCATTCTCTCATACAAACGCTATGAGACAGGTACAATCGCATCATCTGCCGCTCAAAGGAAAATGCTTCGAACGAATTTGATAGCAAAGATTACATCCTCAGAAGAAAGGTTTGTGTATTTGCTCATTTTTCTATGTGTTGCTTCCACCTTGACACAAGTGCGGTGCTATTGTATCTGTCGCTTGGGTTCTGGTAAAGTTGCCAGTCTTCTTGATATGATGTCTTCGGTTGAAACCAATTGAATTTTTTGTTAACCCATCTTAAAATAGATGGTTTAGTGCTTTTAATCTCCCTATCAAAATTTAAAATATTCTCACCGTAGAGCCACACTAAGCGCTGAAGCTACACACGAGAGCGCTCTCAAGCGTACCTTTAGTGAAAACACAGAGTGTGGCTCTACGGTGCGGATATTTTGAATTTTATAGGGAGATTAATAGCACTAGACTCTCTTTGTTACGTGAAAATGCATCGGCTCACCCCTCACCAAGAACATCGCATGAGTCTGAGTGCACTATAGTCTATAGTGTGTGCTTTTTGTTTATAGGTAAGGAGATACCGTGCTTTCACTTTGATTACAACCTAAAGAGAAGTGATATGGTAATCAGAAGCGAAAGCACGGGCGTAGTAAATAAGGAACTTATTGCGTTACTTATTCTCTATGAATAATCACTGAAGATGGTATGTTGTCTTAGATGTATGTTGTCTTAGATTTAACGTAGGCATTCTATATTAAAAAGTAACGAAAAAGTCCCAAAAGAGCGATGCATCCCTGCTCATGAATCTTCCCCACACCCTCCTGTGACACATATGAGAGTTCTCTGCATTTATCTTAAGCAGTGTTGGGAAAATATAAAAAAAATCAAATCTCCCCAATACCCAAGATCACGCATGATTTTCGTAGCCAAAAATCAACAAGCAAACAACTAAGGTTGATATTGCACGCTATGATATCGCAGCTCGGAATATCACGCTAACAAAACTCACCAGCTGCAAATCTCAACAAACTGTGGTGAGATTGAGATTCATGATTTTTGCTTTGCTCCCCAACGTAAAAGAAACTTCCATAACGGCTGGCAGCAGTCACTTCGTGTCTGCCATCGGTGAACAGTTAAAAGAGATAGCAAATTATTCTTTCTCTTTCTAAGAAAACGATGTGCAACGGAATCATTTTTGTGTCAAGTCAACTCTCAGCTTGATTTTTGCACGTTGTGAATAGTCTCGCAATATCAAAGGAGCTTGTAAAACCAATATCAAGCATGATATTTTGTTTCAATATCACGCGTGATTATGAGACCTTATGAGAGCAGAAAAATATCATTTGATTGATGATATTGCCAACACTGATCTTAAGTAAGTGTTACTCTAACAATCCTTTCCCATCCACGGAACGTGGCCAGGTCATAGCATTACAGGAGTGGAATAATAGCACGAAAACGGCTCATCTTATCAAAACGATGTCTGAAACAAAGTTGTAGCATACTGGATTGTCTTGGATTCCAAAATGGCGTCTACGTTACACTTCTCATTTGAGGCATCAATTTACCACTCTCCTTAAATATTAAAAAATGAAGAAGATGCAGCAGCGTTTCTGATGAACTTATGCGTTTATAAATTAGAATTTATGGAGATCTTTAAATGATTAAAAATAAAATGAAATCCCTAGAATGTAACAAAAATGCTGATAAAGATTTATCATGAATTATTTGATAAAAAACAAAACCAGTGATCCATTTGTCAGGATACAGAAAACCTACAACATTTTGAATTTATATTTAAAATGGTTGACTTTGAAAAACAAAAAAGAGACATTTTTCGCTGTGCCCGTCAACCTTCGATTTTTCCCAACCTGCATACAGAAAAACGCGACGACAAGTCCTGCCTACATATTTACGGCTTGACGTCCACCTTAATCCTCACATTTCAAGACCAACAATTGAAAAGGTCTCATCCGATTTAACAAACAAAACTTCTTGCGGTCATTTCTCGTGAATCCCAGGAAGCATCACCAGGTAGGGAAAAGCTCCCCCTTTCCGATGGTGTTGTTGGTATGCTCCGTCGCACGAGAAAAGGCCGCAACAAGTATTGTTTACAAAAGCTGATGAGGCCTTTTCAATTGTTGATCTTGATTTGGCAACTCAACGCGAGCACGCTGCTTGCCTTATCTCATCCGGAAAGCACCACGCTTCCACTGACTGCACTGCGAAGAGCCTACCTTTGTGTGTCTGATGTCACATCCCTTATACGGACGAACGTGGCTGGCTGGCAGCAGCTTTCATTAGGCTCGTAAAACTAAATATTCAAATTTGCGGAACGATTGATGTAGGTACGATGGAATGTCATGCAACACGACTGACACGTTGAGGAGTTTGCGGGAGCGGGAGTTTTGGGCTTCGGTAGCTACGGCAAAGCAATTCTCGCACATCACGCTTCTCGCTGCTTGATCGTCATTTCACTTGATGGTGGCAGGCCTACGTTGGCGCAGCTAATGGGGGTGCCTAGGGTGCCTGACCCCCTACATCACAGATTTTTTGTGATTCCACTACTAACAATTTAAATTATATTAATCTTCAAAAAATTTTGGAGGGGGCTTGCCCCTCCCAGGCACCCCCATTAGCTATGCCAATGGAGGCCTACCGTTTGCGGATTCTTGGCTTGCCCGATGAAAGCAGTCAGTAGGGACAGGAAAGGACGCTGACGACGACGACGACGGCGGCGCAAACATAGAGCGGATGTAGGAAAAGTGCGTTTTCCAGCGTTGAGTGGTTGCGGATGGTACATTTCTTATGTGCATGTGTGTGGTTGAGCTCACGGAAGATGACAGCGGCATTTACGAGGTAGTTTATGGTGGGACGTGTCGTGGCCGTAAGAGAGTTTTTCACTTAGCGAAAGAAGATTTCAATGAAGGTATTTGAGATAGGCTGTGCAACGTGAATTCCAAAGAATTCCAATTCGAACATAGTTTTTGAATCAATTCCGAAATCAATTCCACGCCTGGTTAGCAAACGGTCAGTGCCTCCGCAACCATATGCTCCCGTTTATTGTATGTTAGTTCGAACCAGCTCGAGTCAATCAGTGTACGCACAAATTGCGTTTCGCCAAACAAAACTGTTTGCAATTCAATTAAAATTTATCGTTGCGTGTTCGACTACAATAACAGCAACCGGAAAGTTAAAAAAAATCTAAATCCAATATTCTAAATCCAACGTAGTTTTAGTTTGGTAGGAATGTGTTAGTTTTTACCAGTGTTCGGCAATACGACGGAGATTTGCACTTATTGCTCCTGTGGGAATTTCCCGGTCAGTAGAACCTGTTCCACCGTGAAATGAAGCGCTGGAATTGAAACAAATATTTCTATCCTGGTTGGCATTATGCGTTTTTGCAATCACTGGAATATGTTCGGAAAAATTGATTAACTCACTATTGTGTTGAATAGTTGCCAGGACAGCTCCAGTATTGAGTTTTGTTTTCAATTAACGATTCCCAATCAATCAACACGTTTCAATAATGTATAGCCTTTCAATTACAGAGGGCGACGTCAAAGTTGTTAATTAATTTACCCGGTTCAGTTAGTGTCCACACCATCATAGGAAGGTACTTACCAGACCGATATGGTCGTCGGCAAATAGTTCACCGTCAATGTCGTCGCTGTCCCGCAGGAAGTCGTCTTCCTCGTAAATTACATTACTAGAGTCGTCTAGCTCCTATGTGTGGTTGTGACGGAGTGTGTATTGTTGGATTAGGAGGTGTGCATCAATGTACAGTGAAACGAAAAAAAAGTAAGAAAACAAAAGCGAAATCAAAAATTAAATATACTGGAAGAAGGGCTACTTACAACTGAATAGGTTACTAACGAAAGAAGGCCAAAAAATGAAAACCAATTTGCTACTTAAATTAAATGAAAAAAAAAAACTCAACCGAAAACTAGGATGGATGAATAATTATGTTTTTTTTTTTAAAGAAATGAGTCTTATTTATTGAAACAATTTTTCGGAAAATCTTCGGAGTGCTGCTGACAGTGATGCCACATGTACAGATTTATCTGTAATAATACAGATTTTTCTCAATATTTTGATACAGATTACAGATATTTAGAAAATTTAAAGATCTTACAGATTTTTCAAATCAGTGGAAAATATTTTTCATGTTTTATTATATTTATTAATTCCGCTAAATAATTCAATTCACTCTTGGAGCATCAAACATAAATCGCATTTTTCACTAAATAAATTCGTATTGAATTATCAATAGTTGATAATTTTGAAAGGGCTTTTGGTGTTTAGATGTTCGGATTTCTGATTTCTTGTTCGAAGGGATTTGGATTTGAAAAAATAAAAAAAAAATAACCAGATAAAGATTTTTGTACTGAGACTTTAGTTTTTTGTGTGTCCTATGAATATTCAAGTGAATCAAGTTTAATTCTGAAATATCCGATTTTGGTTACATTATTTATATTAGCATGTCTTCAAACAACTTAACAAATCCTGAAAAGTCTTCAAAATGTAGGCATGAAAAAAAAAATACCTTCACAGAGTTATAAATGTCTACAAAATGAAGACATGTCTTCAAATCTGATATCCCTGGTATTGAAGAAACTAGGAAATGGGAGGAAATGGAAGCTCTAGTAACCCTTAAACAAATGAAAGTGAGCTCCGTTAAAATGCAATTTTAGCTATTCAAACTAAACTACGACATTCAAGAAGTTTGTCCTGTAAAATTGAGGAAAATTTTACTCATTCATTGAGTAGCTCAATTTTTTTTCAATTTTGAGCTACTCTCTTAAGAAAACTTAAAATTTACCTTATATTCAAGCAGATCTTTGAGGAAAATCGAGGAAAAAAATTCCTGTATTTTTCCTGAAAATAATAAAACTATCCTGAATTTAAAGACGTTTGAAAACCGACCAAATTCAAAAAGAAAAACTGCAAGGGACAGCCCTATGGGGTTGTACGTAATGGTGACGTAGGACTACGTGGTATTATATAATAAATCTTATTTGTTAACTGCAGCAGAAGCTTGTGTTTTGTGTAGGAATAGGAATTTGAGCGGGGTTCTCTCTGTTTATACTATTTAGTATGACGCGCTTGACATAGATGGCACACAGCGACTCACGAAGAGCTACTGATTCCGATCAATAGCGGTGCGCCTTCTTCCTCCTCCTATAGATTGTCATGTGGGCTGCAGCTCGCTGCTTGCAGGCAGCCTTTCTTTGTGAACTGGAGAACACCACCACTCACCACACGGTGATTGAATAAACGTCGTTTGGTGAGACCGGATGGAATTCAACTTTGAAATCTGTGCTAGGGAAATCGCTTTTTGCAGGCAATCGGTGATAATTTAAATTATCATAGCAACAGTTGTACATTCGTGCAATTATCAATAGTGACATTTTGAAAAATGATGAAGTCTTAACTATAGCAGATGCGTAGGAATATATCAGATCGATTGGTGATAAAATTATCGAAATTGGTCCAGGGGCAGCTGAGTTATTAACGTTCAAAATCTTTCATAATTTTGTTACATGTTCCATTTTCGGTTTTCACAAAGTGTACCTCGATATAGAAATCACAGACGTAGTCCTACGTTAAAAATTAAAATAATAAGAATTGTTTCGGCCTCCGGTGCACTATATTCGATATGCTATCAGTTATACAACCATATCTAAAGATTATTTCATGAGGATGACATTGACGATGGAGCATTCAAGATCTTGTTGTGAATATTAACTCCATTAAATTTTGGCCGACTGGTGCTTGACCGAATGAGCCAATTCGAGCTGGGAAAGCGTAAAATGAGTACGGTACAAGTCATACAGAGAGCTTCAATAGCAACGGCAACGAGACGACAAATCGAATCCAATGAAGTTTCCAGTCCAATGGAATGGATATGTCAGCGAACCCATACGTAACCCATTCAATAATCGAATAATACTGGGAAGCCCCAGCATTGCATCCGCAGTGAGTGAGAAGAAGCAGGAAAGCAGAGTAGAAATACTCATTTCCGATTGCCATCAGTAACCCTCGATTACGCCCGGTACCGGTCCAGGGGGAAACGAATATATCATCCCGAAAAAAGACCCTTTTCCGTTACATCCACACAAATAGGAATGGCAAAAAAAATCCTTTCCCATGACTAATGGGTTTTCTCTGAATGAGCGAATGAACGGGGTTAAAGTATGATATTTGCTATTAGCTCTTTGTAGTATGCCGACAACTCACCACCAATTGATTCCCGGAATGGTGGTTCGCAATTAGAACCATTAGCTGAAGTTTGATTGAAGTTTGAAAACCTCTCATCCTTATACTCACAAAAGAAAAATGAAAAACTCAGATCAGGTGGCTTTCAGCATCCTGCCAGTTCACAGAATGTTGGTACTTCGCAAAATCCTCCGGTGTGCACGCTTTCCGGGACCGGCAGAGCTCTGATGTGAATGAATAATGAATTTAACAAAATGAAAAATACTTCTCTCCACCTGAGCCCATCACCAGCATCAGGAAGCCAAACGCAACCACACGCGCTTCCGCCGTCGACGCCGCTGCCGCATCCAGCGTTTTTTCTTTCCCGGAATGCCACGAGAGTTCCGGGAAAAATTTAGACCGTGCGTGACGGAACTGACTGAGTGGGAGCTGCAGCCTCACGGTTTTTCGTTTTAAACGAAACTTATTTATTCGAGTAAATGAAAGACACTTTTTCCATTAGAATTCACTTGTTATATCGGAGAAAGGTACTGCCGCTGCAACCCTTCGTCAGTCGTCATAGTTATTTGCGCACCAACAGGCACCGGATAGAGGCGAAACGGAACCGAAAAATTTATATACTTCATCGGCTCTGACCTCTTGGAACTTTCGCATTCATACACACTAGAACCAGGTTGGTCTCATTCGTTCTCCTTCGCAAAAACGCCGGGTATCGAAGACCTATGCCGGAAAGGAAAATTAAATTTAGAGAGGTACAATCCCGGGATAACCTCGATCCATCATTCGGAAAATCTACATGGAACACCTGGTGGAATTGACGGTGCATGGTGTGTGGAGCACTGCTCGTTGGTGTTGTGAAATATGAAAGTACATGTTTTCATCACTGTCGAATTTTCCTGGGAAATATGCGTAGTTCATTTGTGAAATTTGAAATCATAAACGTCATCGTCTGCTCCGTTTGGACCGGACAAATTCTGGAGGAGCAGACAAACAAAGTATCCGGTTCCAGCTTTGCCCATGATTCCAACTAAGTGTCATCGAGGCTATCGGCATCGAAATTACCATCTTCAGCAAACCTCTCACTTGCATAGCGGCCTAATTTCAAAAGCAAACCCATGTTTGGGATGGTACCAGCATCAAGCTAGCTAACAATGCAATGCATCAAATAACATGAGATTTCGCTAAAATAGTGGACATGTTCTGGGTGCCCCCGGGGAAGTGATCAGATGTAAGCCAAAACTCATCATGCAACATATCAAATCACATGAGTATTCAAAATTAAGATCATCGGTGGTCAGACCACATCTGGATATGTTCCGGGCACACCGGGAAGGAACCACTCAGAATTTTTTTTAATTTAATTGTGGTGTAAACATTCTTGCCGGAAACTTGTATTTCATTTCACGCCAACTAGCATCTTGCAAGAAATGTTGCTTACAAAGATGAACTATTGCATACAATATTTACTACTTTTCATGAAATTTCTCCGAACTTTACACGGTTATTAGTGTAAACTTGTATGATATGTGTCACTCCACTGATGTGCATTATATTGAATATATCTCGATGAACATTTCAAATGGTCCTATCTGCTTTGATCGATTCTCTTCATCGACTTTCTCTTTTCATAAACACTGCTATGCAAACAGATTTCGCGCTAATTCTACCACATAGTTTGATAAAGGAGGTTCTTATCTAGCGTCCAAAATGGAAAATACAACAGGGAAAGGTTTTGCAGCTGAGTTATTGACGAAATAGAAAGTCGATGAAGAGAATCGATCAATGTAGATAGGAGCATTTGAAATGTTCATCGAGATATATTTACACTACTTTTTCGATGGGTGCAGTTTCTGGTTATGGCACTACGGCCGAATCATGTTCCGGTGAATATGGGTCTCGAGACTAGAAGTGATCTGAAACATGCCAATCACATCATGCCAACACATGGGAACTCAAAAACAAGATCAATGGTAGCCATACTGACTGTCCAAGGCCACAGTGGCCATATCCGGCCAATTACCAGTTTCTGTCTAGGACCAACACCCATCATGCGAAACCTCAAATCACATGAGAATCCAAGCTGAATTTTTATTAATTTTTATTTTATTGTATTTTATTTTATTTGTACTGTCAACAGGTTTAACAACTCCAATGGCTAACTTAAATTAAGTAACATGTAAAAATAACACTCCCTTTCCCTATCCTTTGACAATGTACCTCTCTAACCTTGGGTAAGCCGCGAGTATTCGGCCCAGCTCCTACTAGACATAGAATTAAGTGAATTTTGTTACAAACAAAGAAAATGAACTATTGGCTCCGTAAAGTCAACGCGATTGAGCCTCACAAGTAAACAAGCTAGATAAAAAAATGTAAAAATAACATCAAACAGATAAGGCTCTGACAAAATAATTTTTCATCACACTCGAAACAATTGTCAAAAACACGACACATACCTAGTCTTGATGGGCTTGTGCATTCCATAAAGTCTGGAACCTGCAAAAATTGGT